TAACAGCATCCTGTTACAATCATTTCTTGTTCTTATAGTGTTTCCCCCAAGCATGTTTAGCATGGATAGACGCCATGCCATTATTAAATGACGCCATGCCCTTTTTATACGACCGCAAAAAAATTTTTTGTGGTCGTATATTGGTATGACGTTGGCGTCGATGTCGTCGTCGTCGTCCGAAGACACATTGGTTTTCGCACTCTTACTTTAGTTTAAGTGCATGGATCTCTATGAAATTTTAGCACAAGGTTCAATACCACAAAAGGAAGGTTGGGATTGATTTTGGGGGTTATGGTACCAACAGTAAAGGAATAAGGGGCCGAAAAGGGGCCAAAAATAAGCATTTTTGTAACTTCCAGACTTAACTTGTGTGTTAGTGTATGGATCTCTCTGACATTGTACCACAAGGTTCCATATCACAAAGGGAATGCTGGGATTGATTTTGGGGGTAATTGCCTCCAAATTTTAGGAATTAGGGGCCAAAAAAGGGGCAAAAAACAAGCATTTTTCTAGTTTCATGACAATAACTTGTGTTCAAGTGTATGGATCTCTCTGAAATTGTACTGCAAGGTACCATACCACAAAGGGAAAGCTGGAATTGATGATGGGGGTAATTGCCTCAATATTTTAGGAATTAGGGGCCAAAAAGGGGCAAAAAACAAGCATTTTTCTAGTTTCAGGACAATAACTTGTGTGTAAGTGTATGGATCTCTCTGAAATTGTACTGCAAGGTACCATACCACAAAGGGAAGGCTGGGATTGATGATGGGGGTAATTGCCTCAATATATAAGGAATTTGGGGCCAAAAAGGGGCCAAAAAACACATTTCCTAGTTTCCAGACAATAACTTGTGTTCAAGTGTATGGATCTCTCTGAAATTGTACTGCAAGGTACCATACCACAAAGGGAAGGCTGGGATTGAGTTTGGGGGTGATGAATCATAAGGGGGTTCAAAAAATTTTTGGGGGGGGGGATTTTTTTTGTTTTCCTTTTTTTTTCTTTTTTTCCTTTTTTTTTCTTTTAAAATTTTCCATTTTAAGTTGGTTATTTCTGATTTATATTTAAAAGCAAATAATAATGATATGGTAGGAGATACACACCAAACAGGATGTGTAAATTATTATATAAAAAGTATTGTGCAATAGCAAGAGATTTTCAATTGCACAGTATTGCACAATAGCAAGAAATCTTCAATTGCACAGTATTGCGCAATAGCAAGAATTTTCAATTGCACAGTATTGCGCAATAGCAAGAAATATCCAATAGCACAATATTGCCCAATAGCAAGAAATTGTCAATTGTACAGTATTGCGCAATAGCAAGAAATATTTAATTGCACAGTATTGTGCAAAAGAAGATACTTCGTATAAATTGCTTATTTCTTGACCAATTTCAATGGGGTTTTATTCTTGAATTCTTGGGGTTCTTTAATATGCTGAATCTAACCGTGTATTTAGTTTTTGGATTTTGGGCCCCGTTTTTAAATTGGTCCACATTGAGGTCCAAAGGGTCCAAAATTAAACTTTGTTTGATTTCATCAAAAATTGAATTATTGGGGTTCTTTGATATGCCGAATCTAACCGTGTATTTAGATTCCTAATTTTTGGTTCCGTTTTCAAATTGGTCTACATTAAGGTCCAAAGGGTCCAAAATTAAACTTAGTTTGATTTTAACAAAAATTGAATTCTTAGGGTTCTTTGATATGCTGAATCTAAACATGTATTTAGATTTTTGATTATGGGCCCAGTTTTCAAGTTGGTCCAAATCTGGGTCCAAAATTAAACTTTGTTTGATTTCAACAAAAATTAAATATATGGGGTTCTTTGATATGCTGAATCTAACCATGTATTTAGATTTTTAATTTTTGGGCCCTGTTATCAACTTTGTCCACATTGAGGTCAAAAGGATCCAAAATTAAATTTTATTTGATTTCATCAAAAATTGAATTCTTGGGGTTCTTTGATATGCTAAATCTAACCATGTATTTAGATTTTGGATATAGGACCATAATAGGTGAATGTCCAATTTAAAATTTTTAAGTTCTTAGACCACATTCATTCTGTGTCAGAAATTTATGCTGTGTCAAATATTTAATCACAATCCAAATGCAAAGCTGTATCAAGCTTGAATGTTGTGTCCATACTTGCCCCAACTGTTCAGGGTTCGACCTCTGCGGTTGTATCAAGCTGCGCCCTGCGGAGCATTTTATTCTGTCTTAATAAATGACGCCATGCCCTTTTTATACGACTGCAAAAATTGAAAATTTTTTGGTCGTATATTGGTATGACGTTGGCGTCGTCGTCGTCGTCGTCGTCTGGCGTCGTCCGGCGTCGTCAGAAGACACATTGGTTTTCGCACTCTAACTTTAGTTTAAGCGAATGGATCTCTATGAAATTTTACCATAAGGTTCAATACCACAAAAGGAAGGTTGGGATTGATTTTGGGGGTTATGGTACCAACAGTTAAGGAATTAGGGGCCAAAAAGGGGCCAAAAATAAGCATTTTTGTAACTTCCAGACATAACTTGTGTGTTAGTGTATGGATCTCTCTGACATTGTACCACAAGGTTCCATATCACACAGGGAATGCTGGGATTAATTTTGGGGGTAATTGCCTCAAAATATTAGGAATTAGGGGCCAAAAAAGGGGCAAAAAACAAGCATTTTTTTAGTTTCATGACAATAACTTGTGTGTAAGTGTATGGATCTTTCTGAAATTGTACTACAAGGTTCCATATCACAAAGGGAAAGCTGGAATTGAGTTTGGGGGTAATTGCCCAAAACGTTTAGGAATAAGGGGCCAAAAAGGGGCCAAAAATAAGCATTTTTCTAGTTTCCAGACAATAACTTGTGTTCAAGTGTATGGATCTCTCTGAAATTGTACTGCAAGGTACCATACCACAAAGGGAAAGCTGGGATTGAGTTTGGGGGTGATGAATCATAAGGGGGGTTCAAAAAAATTGGGGGGGGGGGGATTTTTTTTTTCCTTTTTTTTTTCTTTTAAAATTTTCCATTTTAAGTTGGTTATTTCTGTTTTATATTTAAAAGCAAATAATAATGATATGGTAGGAGATACACACCAAACAGGATGTGTAAATTATTATAAAATAAGTATTGTGCAATAGCAAGAAATTTTCAATTGCACAGTATTGCACAATAGCAAGAAATCTTCAATTGCACAGTATTGCGCAATAGCAAGAAATCTTCAATTGCACAGTATTGCGCTATAGCAAGAAATATCCAACAGCACAATATTGCGCAATAGCAAGAAATTGTCAATTGTACAGTATTGCGCAATAGCAAGAAATATTCAATTGCACAGTATTGTACAAAAGAAGATACTTCGTATAAATTGCTTATTTCTTGACCAATTTCAATGGGGTTTTATTCTTGAATTCTTGGGGTTCTTTAATATGCTGATTCTAACCGTGTATTAAGTTTTTGGATTTTGGGCCCCATTTTTAAATTGGTCCACATTGAGGTCCAAAGGGTCCAAAATTAAACTTTGTTTGATTTCATCAAAAATTGAATTATTGGGGTTCTTTGACATGCCGAATCTAACTGTGTATTTAGATTCTTAATTTTTGGTTCTGTTTTCAAATTGGTCTACATTAAGGTCCAAAGGGTCCAAAATTAAACTTAGTTTGATTTTAACAAAAATTGAATTCTTAGGATTCTTTGATATGCTGAATATTGACACTATGTCCCATTTTTTGTATTTAGATTTTTGATTATGGGCCCAGTTTTCAAGTTGGTCCAAATCGGGGTCCAAAATTAAACTTTGTTTGATTTCAACAAAAATTGAATATATGGGGTTCTTTGATATGCTGAATCTAACCATGTATTTAGATTTTTTATTTTTGGGCCCCATTATCAACTTAGTCCACATTGAGGTCAAAAGGGTCCAAAATTAAACTTTGTTTGATTTCATCAAAAATTGAATTCTTGGGGTTCTTTGATATGCTGAATCTAACCATGTATTTAGATTTTGGATATTGGACCATAATAGTTGAATGTCCAATTTAAAATTTTTAAGTTCTTAGACCACATTCATTCTGTGTCAGAAACCTATGCTGTGTCAAATATTTAATCACAATCCAAATTCAGAGCTGTATCAAGCTTGAATGTTGTGTCCATACTTGCCCCAACTGTTCAGGGTTCGACCTCTGCGGTCGTATCAAGCTGCGCCCTTTGGAGCATTTTATTTCACTTCTTTGGATGACGCCATTGTCTAAAAAATGCCCTAAATAGAAGCCTTTTTAAAAATAAAATTTCTGAATTTCATGCCCATCTGCATTTCCGTTAAAATTGTTACCTGATTGTTTAACACTCTAATTAACTGACAATGGGATAAAGTTAAATACCTGACCTTTGGCAGTTTTATAACCTCTGTTAATGATTGTTTACTGCTAATTAGAGGATTTAAGATAATTAAACAAACACTAGATATTTAATACAGATACAGAATAAAAATGTCCACATGTTATCCATTTGTTTATGTACAGCATGTACACCAGAAAAACTTTATTTAAGTAGGCATAAAATTAAAATGAATTGTGAAACAATTATAAAGGTATACATAGTTTTGACTTAATTGGTAAAAGAAGTGTTTTGTTTCATAACCCTGAGTATGGTCAGTATGAAATTTAAAGAAATTCGTACTTTGAACACAGACACTTCCTTTTTTAGCTCACCTGGCCCACAGGGCCAAGTGAGCTTTTCTCATCACTTGGCATCCGTCGTCCGTCGTCATCGTCGTCCGTCGTCATTAACTTTTACAAAAATCTTCTCCTCTGAAACTACTGGGCCAAATTAAACCAAACTTGGCCACAATCATCATTGGGGTATTTAGTTTAAAAAATGTGTCCGGTGACCCCGCCAACAAACCAAGATGGCCGCCATGGCTAAAAATAGAACATAGGGGTAAAATGTAGATTTTGGCTTATATCTCTGAAACCAAAGCATTTAGAGCAAATCTGACATGGGGGGTAAAATTGTTAGTCAGGTCAAGATCTATCTGCCCTGAAATTTTCAGATGAATCTGACAACTGTTGTTGGGTTGCTGCCCCTGAATTGGTAATTTTAAGGAAATTTTGCCGTTTTTGGTTATTATCTTGAATATTATTATAGTTAGAGATAAACTGTAAACAGCAATAATGTTCAGCAAAGTAAGATCTACAAATAAGTCAACTTGACCAAAATGGTCATTTGACCCCTTAAGGAGTTATTGCCCTTTATAGTCAATTTTTAACCATTTTTCGTAAATTTTTGTAATCTTTTACAAAAATCTTCTCCTCTGAAACTACTAAGACAAATTTAACCAAACTTGTCCACAATCATCATTAGGGTATGTAGTTTAAAAAATGTGTCCGATGACCCCGCCCGCGAACCAAGATGGCCGACATGGCTAAAAAATAGTACATAGGGTAAAATGCAGTTTTTGGCTCATATCTCTGAAACCAAAGCATTAAGAGCAAATCTGATGAGAATAAAATTGTTCATTAGGTCAAGATCTATCTGCCCTGAAATTTTCAGACCAATCAGGCAACCCGTTGTTGGGTTGCTGCCCCTGAATTGGTAATTTTAAGGAAATTTTGCCGTTTTTGGTTATTATCTTGAACATTATTATAGATAGAGATAAACTGTAAACAGCAATAATGTTCAGCAAAGTAAGATCTACAAATAAGTCAACTTGACCAAAATGGTCAGTTGACCCCTTAAGGAGTTATTGCCCTTTATAGTCAATTTTTAACCATTTTTAGTAAATTTTTGTAATCTTTTACAAAAATCTTCTCCTCTGAAACAACTAAGACAAATTTAACCAAACTTGTCCACAATCATCATTAGGGTATGTAGTTTAAAAAATGTGTCCGATGACCCCGCCCGCGAACCAAGATGGCCGACATGGCTAAAAAATAGTACATAGGGTAAAATGCAGTTTTTGGCTCATATCTCTGAAACCAAAGCATTAAGAGCAAATCTGATGAGGATAAAATTGTTCATTAGGTTAAGATCTATCTGCCCTGAAATTTTCAGACCAATCAGGCAACCTGTTGTTGGGTTGCTGCCCCTGAATTGGTAATTTTAAGGAAATTTTGCAGTTTTTGGTTATTATCTTGAACATTATTATAGATAGAGATAAACTGTAAACAGCAATAATGTTCAGCAAAGTAAGATCTACAAATAAGTCAACTTGACCAAAATGGTCAGTTGACCCCTTAAGGAGTTATTGCCCTTTATAGTCAATTTTTAACCATTTTTCGTAATTTTTTGTAATTTTTTACAAAAATCTTCTCCTCTGAAACTACTAAGACAAATTTAACCAAACTTGTCCACAATCATCATTAGGGTATGTAGTTTAAAAAATGTGTCCGATGACCCCGCCCGCGAACCAAGATGGCCGACATGGCTAAAAAATAGTACATAGGGTAAAATGCAGTTTTTGGCTCATATCTCTGAAACCAAAGCATTTAGAGCAAATCTGATGAGGATAAAATTGTTCATTAGGTCAAGATCTATCTGCCCTGAAAATTTCAGACCAATCAGGCAACCCGTTGTTGGGTTGCTGCCCCTGAATTGGTAATTTTAAGAAAATTTTGCAGCTTTTGGTTATTATCTTGAATATTGTTATAGATAGAGATAAACTGTTAACAGCAATAATGTACAGCAAAGTTAGATCTACAAATAAGGCAACATGACCAAAATTGTCAATTGACCCCTTAAGGAGTTATTGCCCTTTATAGTCAATTTTTTACAATTTTCATAAATTTTGTAAATTTTTGTAAATTTTTACAAAGTATTTTCCACTGTAACTACCGGGCCAAGTTCATTATAGATAGAGATAATAGTAAGGAGCAAGAATGTTCAGTAAAGTAAGATCTACAAACACATCACCATCACCAAAACACAATTTTGTCATGAATCCATCTGTGTCCTTTGTTTAATATGCACATAGACCAAGGTGAGCGACACAGGCTCTTTAGAGCCTCTAGTTTAGCTCACCTGGCCCAAAGGGCCAAGTGAGCTTTTCTCATCACTTGGCATCCGTCGTCCGTCGTCATCGTCGTCCGTCGTCATTAACTTTTACAAAAATCTTCTCCTCTGAAACTACTGGGCCAAATTAAACCAAACTTAGCCACAATCATCATTGGGGTATTTAGTTTAAAAAATGTGTCCGGTGACCCCGCCAACCATCCAAGATGGCCGCCATGGCTAAAAATAGAACATAGGGGTAAAATGTAGATTTTGGCTTATATCTCTGAAACCAAAGCATTTAGAGCAAATCTGACATGGGGGTAAAATTGTTAGTCAGGTCAAGATCTATCTGCCCTGAAATTTTCAGATGAATCTGACAACTGTTGTTGGGTTGCTGCCCCTGAATTGGTAATTTTAAGGAAATTTTGCCGTTTTTATACGACCGCAAAAATTGAAAATTTTTTGGTCGTATATTGGTATGACGTTGGCGTCGTCGTCGTCGTCGTCGTCGTCGTCGTCGTCTGGCGTCGTCCGGCGTCGTCCGAAGACACATTGGTTTTCGCACTCTAACTTTAGTTTAAGTGAATTGATCTCCATGAAATTTTACCATAAGGTTCAATACCACGAAAGGAAGGTGGGGATTGATTTTGGGGGTTATGGTACCAACAGTTAAGGAATTAGGGGCCAAAAAGGGGCCAAAAATAAGCATTTTTGTAACTTCCAGACAATAACTTGTGTGTAAGTGTATGGATCTCTCTGACATTGTACCACAAGGTTCCATATCACAAAGGGAAGGCTGTAATTGATTTTGGGGGTAATTGCCTCAAAATTTTAGGAATTAGGGGCCAAAAAAGGGGCAAAAAACAAGCATTTTTCTAGTTTCATGACAATAACTTGTGTGTAAGTGTTTGGATATTTCTGAAATTGTACTACAAGGTTCCATATCACAAAGGGAAAGCTGGAATTGAGTTTGGGGGTAATTGCCCGAAACGTTTAGGAATTGGGGGCCAAAAAGGGGCCAAAAATAAGCATTTTTCTAGTTTCCAGACAATAACTTGTGTTCAAGTGTATGGATCTCTCTGAAATTGTACTGCAAGGTACCATACCACAAAGGGAAGGCTGGGATTGAGTTTGGGGGTGATGAATCATAAGGGGGTTCAAAAAATTTGGGGGGGGGGGGGGGGGATTTTTTTTTTTCTTTTTTTTTCTTTTTTTCCTTTTTTTTTTCTTTTAAAATTTTCCATTTGAAGTTGGTTATTTCTGATTAATATTTAAAAGCAAATAATAATGATATGGTAGGAGATACACACCAAACAGGATGTGTAAATTATTATATAATAAGTATTGTGCAATAGCAAGAAATTTTCAATTGCACAGTATTGCACAATTGCAAGAAATCTTCAATTGCACAGTATTGCGCAATAGCAAGAAATCTTCAATTGCACAGTATTGCGCAATAGCAAGAAATATCCAATAGCACAATATTGCGCAATAGCAAGAAATTGTCAATTGTACAGTATTGCACAATAGCAAGAAATATTCAATTGCACAGTATTGTGCAAAAGAAGATACTTCGTATAAATTGCTTATTTCTTGATCAATTTCAATGGGGTTTTATTCTTGAATTCTTGGGGTTCTTTAATATGCTGAATCTAACCGTGTATTAAGTTTTTGGATTTTGGGCCCCGTTTTTAAATTGGTCCACATTGAGGTCCAAAGGGTCCAAAATTTAACTTTGTTTGATTTCATCAAAAATTGAATTATTGGGGTTCTTTGATATGCCGAATCTAACCGTGTATTTAGATTCTTAATTTTTGGTTCCGTTTTCAAATTGGTCTACATTAAGGTCAAAAGGGTCCAAAATTAAACTTAGTTTGATTTTAACAAAAATTGAATTTTTAGGGTACTTTGATATCCTGAATCTAAACATGTATTTAGATTTTTGATTATGGGCCCAGTTTTCAAGTTGGTCCAAATCGGGGTCCAAAATTAAACTTTGTTTGATTTCAACAAAATTGAATATATGGGGTTCTTTGATATGCTGAATCTAACCATGTATTTAGATTTTTGATTTTTGGGCCCCGTTATCAACTTTGTCCACATTGAGGTTAAAAGGGTCCAAAATTAAACTTTGTTTGATTTCATCAAAAATTGAATATATGGGGTTCTTTGATATGCTGAATCTAACCATGTATTTAGATTTTTTATTTGTGGACCCCGCTATCAAATTGGTTCATATTGAGGTCAAAAGGGTCCAAAATTAAACTTTGTTTGATTTCATCAAAAATTGAATTATTGGGGTTCTTTGATATGCCAAATCTAACCGTGTATTTAGATTTTTAATTTTGGGTCCCGTTTTTTAAATTGGTCTACATTAAGGTCCAAATGGTCCAAAATTAAACTTAGTTTGATTTTAACAAAAATTGAATTCTTGGGGTTCTTTGATATGCTGAATCTAAACATGTGTTTAGATGTTTGATTATGGGCCCAGTTTTCAAGTTGGTCCAAGTTGGGGTCCAAAATTAAACTTTGTTTGATTTCAACAAAAATTGAATATATGGGGTTCTTTGATATGCTGAATCTAAACATGTATTTAGATTTTTGATTTTTGGCCCAGTTTTCAAGTTGGTCCAAACTGGGGTCCAAAATTAAACTTTGTTTGATTTCAACAAAAATTGAATATATGGGGTTCTTTGATATGCTGAATCTTACCATGTATTTAGATTTTTTATTTGTGGGCCCGCTATCAAATTGGTTCATATTGAGGTCAAAAGGGTCCAAATTAAACTTTGTTTGATTTCATCAAAAATTTAATTATTGAGGTTCTTTGATATGCCAAATCTAACCGTGTGTTTAGATTTTTAATTTTGGGTCCCTTTTTTTAAATTGGTCTACATTAAGGTCCAAAGGGTCCAAAATTAAACTTAGTTTGATTTTAACAAAAAATGAATTCTTGGGGTACTTTGATATGCTGAATCTAAACATGTGTTTAGATTTTTGATTATGGGACCAGTTTTCAAGTTTGTCCAAGTTGGGGTCCAAAATTAAACTTTGTTTGATTTCAACAAAAATTGAATATATGGGGTTCTTTGATATGCTGAATCTAACCATGTATTTTGATTTTGGACATTGGACCATAATAGGTAAATTAAAAAAATTGAAGTTCTTAGACCACATTCTTTCTGTGTCAGAAACCTATGCTGTGTCGAATATTTAATCACAATCCAAATTCAGAGCTGTATCAAGCTTGAATGTTGTGTCCATACTTGCCCCAACTGTTCAGGGTTCGACCTCTGCGGTCGTATCAAGCTGCGCCCAGCGAAGCATTTTATTGGTTATTATCTTGAATATTATTATAGTTAGAGATAAACTGTAAACAGCAATAATGTTCAGCAAAGTAAGATCTACAAATAAGTCAACTTGACTAAAATGGTCAGTTGACCCCTTAAGGAGTTATTGCCCTTTATAGTCAATTTTTAACCATTTTTCGTAAATTTTGTAAATTTTGGTAAATTTTTACAAAATATTTTCGACTGTAACTACTGGGCCAAGTTCAATAGATAGAGATAATTGTAAGCAGCAAGAATGTTTAGTAAAGTAAGATCTACAAACACATCACCATCACCAAAACACAATTTTGTCATGAATCCATCTGTGTCCTTTGTTTAATATGCACATAGACCAAGGTGAGCGACACAGGCTCTTTATAGCCTCTAGTTACTTCTTGTATTTATAATCCTCCTTATATAGGAGCTCCAAACAAATGCCTTCATTTTTAACAATTATGGAGGAAAAAAGTAACTGTTAATACCTTCTGCAATGTATGCAATGTATTATTGCATCAATATATATCATCTCCTGTTCCACCTGTTATATTTCTAAAACTCCTTACTTGGGAGCACTTTGGTGTGCACTTAAAAAAAACCCTCTTTTTTTTGTAACTATTTAAATGAGACTAAATAACTTCCAACCAACATCAAGAACATGTACAATAATTTCTAAATATGGTTAAAATAAGGTTAAAATACAACTTATGTTCCATATAGTGATTATTGAACTGGTATAATACCTGATACTTTTTAGCTCACCTGGCCCGAAGGGCCAAGTGAGCTTTTCTCATCACTTGGTGTCCATCGTCGACGTCGTCGTTCGTCGTCGTTAGCTTTTTACAAAAATCTTCTCCTCTAAAACCACTGGGCCAAATTTAACCAAACTTGGCCACAATCATCATTAGGGTATCTAGTTTAAAAAATGTGTCAGATGACCCCGCCAACAAACCAAGATGGCTGCCATGGCTAAAAATAGAACATAGGGGTAAAATGTAGATTTTGGCTTATATCTCTGAAACCAAAGCATTTAGAGTAAATCTGACATAGGGTAAAACTAATTATCAGGTCAAGATCCATCTGCCCTGAAATTTTCAGACAAATCTGACAACCTGTTGTTGGGTTGCTGCCCCTGAATTGGTAATTTTAAGGAAATTTTGCAGTTTTTATACGACCGCAAACAAATTTTTGTGGTCGTATATTGGTATGATGTTGGCGTCGTCGTCTTCGTCGTCCGTGTCGGCGTCGTCCGGCGTCGTCCGAAGACACATTGGTTTTCGCACTCTAACTTTAGTTTAAGTGAATGGATCTCTATAAAATTTTACCACAAGGTTCAATACCACAAAAGGAAGGTTGGGATTGATTTTGGGGGTTATGGTAACAACAGTAAAGGAAATAGGGGCCAAAAAGGGGCCAAAAATAAGCATTTTTGTAACTTCCAGACATAACTTGTGTGTTAGTGTATGGATCTCTCTGACATTGTACCACAAGGTTCCATATCACAAAAGGAATGCTGGGATTGATTTTGGGGTAAATGCCTCAAAAGTTTAGGAATTAGGGGCCAAAAAAGGGGCAAAAACAAGCATTTTTCTAGTTTCATGACAATAACTTGTGTGTAAGTGTATGGATCTTTCTGAAATTGTACTACAAGGTTCCATATCACAAAGGGAAAGCTGGAAATGAGTTTGGGTGTAATTGCCGAAATGTTTAGGAATTGGGGGCCAAAAATGGGCCAAAAAACACATTTTTCTAGTTTCCAGACAATAACTTGTGTTCAAGTGTATGGATCTCTCTGAAATTGTACTGCAAGGTACCATACCACAAAGGGAAGGCTGGGATTGAGTTTGGGGGTGATGAATCATAAGGGGGTTCAAAAAATTTGGGGGGGGGGATTTTTTTTTTTTTCTTTTTTTTTCTTTTAAAATTTTCCATTTTAAGTTGGTTATTTCTGATTTATATTTAAAAGCAAATAATAATGATATGGTAGGAGATACACACCAAACAGGATGTGTAAATTATTATATAATAAGTATTGTGCAATAGCAAGAAATTTTCAATTGCACAGTATTGCACAACAGCAAGAAATCTTCAATTGCACAGTATTGCGCAATAGCAAGAAATCTTCAGTTGCACAGTATTTAAGGAATGACTGTAATATTTTTTCTGTCTATGAAGAAATAACATCAAAAATGTGATGCACACTGAATAACCCGCGTAGCGGGTTATTGAAAAGTGTGCACCACATTTTTTATGTTATTTCGAATAGACAGAAAAAATATTACAGTCATTTCTTATAATTTAATTCTAAATTTTATTTTAAACCAGAGTAAACCATGAAAAAACGTTGATGACGTCACGGTCACATGACAGAATTATGTCTATGAGCTGATAAACAAAACAACGTCAGCCAATCAGAAGACGCGTTACATCCAAAATTAAATTATTGCGCAATAGCAAGAAATATCCAATAGCACAATATTGCGCAATAGCAAGAAATTGTCAATTGTACAGTATTGCGCAATAGCAAGAAATATTTAATTGCACGGTATTGTGCAAAAGAAGATACTTCGTATAAATTGCTTATTTCTTGACCAATTTCAATGGGGTTTTATTCTTGAATTCTTGGGGTTCTTTAATATGCTGAATCTAACCGTGTATTTAGTTTTTGGATTTTGGGCCCTGTTTTTAAATTGGTCCACATTGAGGTCCAAAGGGTCCAAAATTAAACTTTGTTAAGTATAACCAATTCTAAGTTCTTTGACTACAGTTATTCTGTGTCAGAAACCTTTTATGTGTCAAATATTTAATTACAATCCAAATTCAGACCTGCATCAAGAGTGAATATTGCGTCCATTTTTGCCCCAACTGTTCAGGGTTGGACCTCTGAGGTCGTATCCAGCTGCGCTCGGCGAAGCAATTTATGTTAGTTTTCCATACACTCTAGGTGCCCTTTTTATAGATTTTTGCGCGCTCTCGATGCCCTTTTTCAATTCAGTTACCATGCCCTTTTTGTGTGATAGGGGAAACACAATCTTAACAATTCTTGAGAAAAAAGTAACTGTTAATACCTTAAGCTTCTGCAATGTATGCATCAATACAGGGATTCAAATTAGCGGTGGTCCGAAGTCCGGGACCTATCAGATTTAGGGTCGGACTTCCGGTTTGGTTATTAGCTGCACCGGACGGACTTTCGATTTTCAAGTTTCAGAAAACATATATGACAAATTTCTGTATGAAACACTTTGTTATAATTGTAAATAGATGTGGTAATGAGTCACGAAAAACTAGCTCTGAGCTAAAATTATTTTTAACTTAGTGATCTACTTCCTGGTTCATTAATAGTACAGCGTGTCAGATGACAATTTTTATGGGTGCTTTTGTCGAGGTCCGCGTTCGTCATATTAACGCATGTGGTTGTCAACGTTGCTAAACAATGAGTTTGTTTCGCTTTGGCGTCACGTCTTCTAAGAGAAAAACGGGCTTGGACCTTTCATCCTAAGGTGTGGACCTTCCACTTTACTGTTGTAAAGGTCCAGGACTTTTCAGTGAAAAACGTTAATTTGAACCCCTGCAATATGATACTATCATCTCCTGTTCTACCTGTTATATTCATAAAACTCCTTACTCAGGAGCACTTTGGTGTGCACTTAAAAGTACTTTTTTGTAACAATTTAAATGAAAATAAGTAACTTTTAATAACATATACTTTATGTTTGAACAAGTAATTTAAATACTTTATGTTTGAACAAGTAATTTAAATGTACATAATTTTATTGCATTAACAATTTAATTTTGACTGTTTTCCACCATCTTTCAAAACTACTTGTTTAATTTTATAGACTGGTATCTGTAATAAAACATTGAAATTTCTGATGATTATTTTCCTTGCCAAAGTGCAAGTTTGTTTAGATTAAAATGAAAATGATATGCTTTGCTTCACAGTATGATAATTTGATAAAAAATTCTTACTGGAACCAACATTAAGAACACAATAATTTCTAAATATGCTTGAAATACAACTATAATGTCCTCCAGTTGAGCCTAGCAAAGTTCAAGGTAAATTATACTGTCCAACAGTGCCCTTACAATCTGGGTTATTGTGCTAAAGTGCCCTTTAATACAACTAGCACCCTTCTGCCCTGAGATTCAAGCTGGAACACTGTTAACAATTATTAACATAAGTCATAAAACTGATAAACCATAATTCAAACAATGTCAACACAAAGATTACCAATAAAATCAAGGCAACTGAATGATAACCAATCAAATTGTAAACTTGTGTATATACATAATAAATCTTGTTAAATTTTATTATTGATTTGTGTCTTTTGTTGGATAACACTACCAACACACCTTCCACCAATCATACACTACCAACATACCTTCCACCAATCATACACTACCAACATACCTTCCACCAATCATATGCTACCAATCATACACTACCAACATACCTTTCTCCAATCATACACTTCCATTAGACCTTCCACCAATCACCTTCAACCAATCATACACTACCAACATACCTTCCACCAATCATACACTACCAACATACCTTCCACCAATCATACACTTCCAACAATCATACACTACCACCAGACCTTCCACAGATCATACACTACCAACATACCTTCCACCAGATCATACACTTCCAACATACCTCCCATTAATCATACACTTCCAACATACCTTCCAACAATCATACACTTACGACATACCATCCACCAATCATATACTTCCTACATACCTTCCATTAATCATACACTTCCAACATACCTTCCACCAATCATATGCTACCAACATACCTTCCACCAATCATACGCTACCAACATACCTTCCACCAATCATACACTGCCTACATACCTTCCACCAATCATATGCTACCAATCATACACTACCAACATACCTTCCACCAATCATACACTACCAACATACCTTCCACCAATCATACACTACCAACATACTTTCCATCAATCATACACTTCCAACATACATTCCACCAATCATACGCTTCCAACATACCTTCCACCAATCATACACTGCCTACATACCTTCCAACAATCATACACTTGCAACATACCTTACACCAATCATACACTGCCAACATACCTTTCTCCAATCATACACAACCATCATACGTTCAACCAATCATACACTACCAACATACCTTCCACAGATCATACACTATCAACACACCTTCCACCAATCATACACTTCCAACATACATTCCACCAATCATACGCTACCAACATACCTTCCACCAATCATATGCTACCAATCATACCTTTCTCCAATCATACACTATCAACATACCTTCCACCAATCATACACTACCAACATACCTTCCACCAATCATACACTACCAACATACCTTCCATCAATCATACACTGCCTACATACCTTCCAACAATCATACACTTGCAACATACCTTACACCAATCATACACTACCAACATACCTTCTACCAATCATACACTACCAACATACCTTCCACCAATCATACACTACCAACATACCTTCCACCAATCATACACTACCAACATACCTTCTACCAATCATACACTACCAACATACCTTCCACCAATCATACACTACCAACATACCTTCCACAGATCATACACTACCAACATACCTCTTACCAATTATACACTACCAACATACCTTCCACAGATCAAACACTACTAACACACCTTCCACCAATCATACACTACCAACATAACTTCCACCAATCATACACAACCAACATACCTTCCACCAATCATACACTCAAACATAACTTCCACCAATCACACACACTACCAACATACCTTCTACCAATCATACACAACCAGCATACCTTCCACCAATCATACACTACCAACATACCTCCCACCAATCATACACTACCAACATACCTCTCACCAATCATACACTACCAACATACCTTCCACCAATCATACATTACCAACATGCCTTCCACCAATCATACACTACCAACATACCTTCCACCAATCATACACTATCAACTTACCTTCCACCAATCATACACTATCAACATGCCTTCCACCAATCATACACTACCAACATGCCTTCCACCAATCATACACTACCAACCTACCTTCCACCAATCATACACTACCAACATACCTCTCACCAATCATACACTACCAACATACCTTCCATCAATCATGCACTACCAACATACCTTTCACAAATTATACACTACCAACATACCTTCCACAGTTCATACACTACCAACATACCTTTCACCAATCATACACTACCAACATACCTCTCACCAATTATACACTACCAACATACCTTCCACAGATCATACACTACCAACATACCTTCCCCCAATCATAAACTATCAACATACCTTCTGCCAATCATACACTATCAACATACCTTCCACCAATCATACACTACCAACATACCATCCACCAATCAAACACTATCAACATACCTTGCACAATTCATACACTACCAACATACCTTCCACAGATCATACACTACCAACATACCTTTCACCAATCATACACTACCAACATACCTCTCACCAATCAAACACTACCAACATACCTTCCACAGATCATACACTACCAACATACCTTCCACAGATCATACACTACCAAAATACCTTTCACCAATCATACACTACCAACATACCTCCCACCAATCATACACTATCAACATACCTTCCACCAATCATACACTACCAACATACCTTCCACCAATCAAACACTATCAACATACCTTGCACAGATCATACACTACCAACATACCTTCCAACAATCATACACTACCAATCATACACTACAATTTATCATACTCCAATTACACCAATCATACACTACCAACATACCTTCCAACAATCATACACTACCAACATACCTTCCAACAATCATACCCTACCAACATTCCTTCCACCAATCATACACTATCAACATACATTCCACCAATCATACACTACTAACATACCTTCCACCAATCATACACTACCAAAATTCCTTCCACCAATCATACACTTCCAACATACCTTCCATCAATCGTACACTTTCAACAATCATATAATACCAACACACCTTCCACCAATCATACTCTTCCAACATACCTTTTACCAATCATACACTACCAACATACCTTCCAACAATCATACACTACCAATCATACACTACAATCTTATCATACTCCAATTACACCAATCATATACTACCAACATATTTTCTAACAATCAGACACTACCATCTAATCATACTCAAATTACAGATCTTAACACCAATGATATACTACCAGCATATCAATCATGTAATCACCCTCCAATTACACATCTAACACCAATAATACATTACCAGCACATCAACCATATAATCATACTCCAACAACACATCTAACACCAATAATACACTACCAGTACAACAACCATCCAATCATACTCCAATTACACATCTAACACCAATAATACACTACCAGCACATCAACCATCCAATCATACTCCAATTACACATCTAACACAATTAATACACTACCAGCACATCAACCATCTAATCACACTCCAATTACACATCTAACACCAATAATACACTACCAGCACATCAACCATCCAATCATACTCCACCAACACATCTAACACCAATAATACACTACCAGCACATCAACCATCTAATCATACTCCACAAACACATCTAACACCAATAATACAATGCCAGCACATCAACCATCTAATCATACTCCACCAACACATCTAACACCAATAATACAATGCCAGCACATCAACCATCTAATCATACTCCTTAAACACATCTAACACAATTAATACACTACCTCACATCAGCCATCTAATCATACTCCAATTACACATCTAACACCAATAATACACTCCTAGCACATCAACCATCTAATTATACCCTAATCATGATAATTACTTATCTAACACCAATAATACACTGCCAGCAGATCAACCATCTCATCATACTCCACCAACACATCAAACACCAATACTACACTGCCAGCACATCAACCATCTAAGCATACTACAATCTAAAACCAAGAATACTTTCCCAGCAATTAAACCAACTTATCATACTCTAATTACACATCTTACAGAAATATTACATTACCAACACAACAACCATCTAATCATACTCCACAAACACATCTAACACCAATAATACACTACCAGCACAACAACCATCTAATCATACATCAATTACAAATCTAACACAATTAATACACTACCTCACATCAACCATCTAATCACACTCCAATTACACATCTAACAATATTAATAATACTATACCAGCACAACAACCATCTCATCATACTTCAATTAAACATTTACCAACACACTAGAATTATAATACTCTCATTGTCCATGTAAATCTAACACAAAACACGAATGATGACACACCATAGTGACATATGCCAGCCTTTTAGGCAAAAAAAAAAAATATATGTCTAAGGTTACATCAGTAAAAAATATAGGGTAGGTAGATCAGTATTTGAATTTTATTTTATTTTTTACATTTTATTTTTTGCGACATGATAATGAGTTACACGGTCTATATTGCTGTGGTCCGAATTGTCCATGGGTCGAGTTTACCTGTATTTTTAATGATTGGATTATTTCCCTTTGTTATTGATTGGGCAAAAATGGCGGCAAAGTATCGATTTAATAATTTCCTTAAAAAGAAGTGTCATATTCACAATTGTGAACATTATATAAATAACACATAGCTGAGAGGGTGATAGAGCAGATTGTTACCCCGAGAAAACATTGTCAACTGAGGCAAACCAAGGTTGACAATGTCTTTTCGAGGGGTAACAATATGCTCTATCACCCTCTCAGATATTCTTATTTAATTTATTATACTGAATGTTCTGTTATTACTTTCTATTAAATTTCAAATTCAAAGTAATAAACTATGTCATCTTGTACATAACAATCATCCTTCTTTATTAAAGCGCACAGTTGAGCAAGCGTCTCCGTGAAGGGTAATAGAGTATTTGTATTGGGATAGAGTAAATTATCTCCCTCGTATTAACCAATCAAAATCTGGCATTTTGACATGAAGTATAATAATAGGATATATTAGGCAATTGATTTATTTTATTGGTAACTCTAACTTCGCTTTTGGCACGACTTCAACTAAATTTTCATTTTACGATGGAAATAAAATGACTTATGGTAGGCGCTCAAAAGTAAGGTCGGTTGGGTAACCATAAACAGACATATATTTTTTTTGTGGCCTTACTCATGTATCAAGTGGTTGTCAATAAAGCACGTACTAGAATAATAATACTCTCATTGTCCATGTGAATTGAACACAAAATACTAATAATGACACTTCACAGTAACATATGCCAGCCTTTTACTCATGTGTCATAGTGGTTGTCAATAAAGCATGTACTAGAATAATAATACTCTCATTGTCCATGTGAATTGAACACAAAATACTAATAATGACACTCCACAGTAACATGTGTCAGCCTTTTACTCATGTGTCATAGTGGTTGTCAATAAAGCATGTACTAGAATAATAATACCCTCATTACAAGTTAATGAGACAGGCAAAATTTAATGTAAACCAGATGGTTGAATTATAATAAATATAACTTTATTATTTTAGTATGTTTGGTTTTAATGTAATAATTTACATACTACACTAATTAGGGCCCCGCCTAGTGTCGGGTCGCCCTATAGTGATCAGTCTGTCCGTCCGTCTGTCTATCCGTTTGTCCGTAACAAATTGTGTTCGCTCTATATAACCGTTATAATTTCATACTTTATACTTGACATGCATATTAACCAACACCAGAGAGTGTGTCATAATGTTTGTACAACTTCCTAGGTCAAAGTTCAAGGTCAAAAACTTTAGTTTCAAATGACAACCCTATGTCCTATAGTAAAGATCGTGTCCACTCTATATCTTGAGAACTGTTAAGGTCAAAAGTCAAGGTTAAAAACTTTGGTTTCAGTTGACAACTCCATGTCCTAGGGTAAAGATACAAATTTTATACCACACATTATTTCAGCGGGGCCCACAGAGATGGCTCCCATCTCAATGATGTCTAGTTTATTCATGTTCTTAAACAGTAAAATCTCAAATATTGTTCATGTATCTCTTTATTATGTCACTTCATATTTGTTGTTGGTTTAGGTTGACTGGTTTTATGTCAAGTATATGTAAATAAAACCATAATCTACATTGTATAGGTAAAATTAGTACAACAATTGCCTATTATTTAAAGAAGATGTATATTTGTATGATTGATAAAAGAGTTTTGATTGTATTTCAGGGTAAGACTCCTTATGATATGGTAACGATGGGAAGGTATGATTCTGAAGAGAAAAAAAGGAAGAAGAAAGAAGTGATGGACTTCCTAAAGGTAAATATTCTGTCTTAATTAAAAAGATATATTTACAAATATGTGACAGATTGTTAGAGACACAACAGACTTGGTACAAAGAAGTTACAATAAAACAGTTGCCTTTAGTTGTCAATGTCACTGTAGTATTTGTTGTCAGTTAACAATGTTAGTTGACAAATCCAAGCTTGTTGCCTAATACATGTATAGATGTTGGCATATGTGAAAGGCAAATGTTTGAAATTAGTGTGCTCATCTGTTGAATGTCTTTTTAGTCCCCTACCAACGAAGTCGAAGGGGACTTTAGGTTTGCACTCTGTCTGTCTGTCCGTCTGTCGGTCAATCCGGCAAAACACATTTTTTCTTCGTGCTAGAAGACATTGATTTGATATTTGATGTATTGTTTTATCATAAGTTACAGATCAAGTTCGAATTTTGTTACGGTCTGATGATTTTGTGCAGAGTTATGGTCCTTGGACTTAGAAAAATCACTAAAATAATCAGTTTTCCACACTTTTTCGACATGCTTTAAGATTTTGGATTGATATTTGTTATATAGTTTACACCATGACAAGTTATAGATCAAGTTAGCCTTTTGTTCCAGTACAATGAATTTTTAATTGTAAGGGGATTATGTATTGCATGCAATACTCCCAGAATGTTTTTTTTTTTTTTTTTGGTCATCAGCTTGCTGTCTCCTTGGTATATATACATCTCATCATCTCCTTTTATCTACACATAATACTTATCTCTGTGTGGAAAAGTTGATTTACATGTTTATGTAAATAGAATAAGAATAAGAATATTTTATTTTCCAATTAAAGGGCCCTATAACATGCATATATGTATAAAGAGCTTTTATCACATTACATACAAATGCATAAGATTAGACAAAATTGAAAAACATGAAAGACAACAACACAGTTTTACAATAATTAATGAAAAAATAGGGGAAGTCCATGGGGGTCACCCCACCCCCTTCTTTTTGAAAACTTGTAAACGGTCAAGATCCCCACCCCGAAACCATATATATTCTTGTATGGGGCAATAAAACAAATCAAATTTAATATAGAAGAAGTCCATGGGGATAACCCCCACCCCACCTTCTTTTTGATAACTTGTAAACGGTCAAGATCCCCACCAAGAAACCATATATATTCTTGTATGGGACAATAACACAAATCAAATGAAAATATAGGGGAAGTCCATGGGGTCACCCCACCCCTTTCTTTTTGAAAACTTGTAAACGGTCAAATCCCCACCTCGAAACCATATATATTCTTGTATGGGACAATAAAACAAATCAAATTAAATATAGAAGTCCATGGGGGTAACCCCCACCCCAATGAAATATTGGGGGGGTCCCCGGGACTACCCCACCCCCCTTCTTTTTGAAAACTTGTAAACGGTAAAGATCCTCACCCTGAAACAATATATATTCTTGTATGGGACAATAAAACAAATCAAATGAAATATAAAGCGAGTCCCCTGGGGTCACCCCACCCCATCCTGTTTGAGAACTTGTAAACCGTTGAGATCCCAACCCCTAAACCATATATATTCTTGTATGGGACAATAACACTAATGAAATGAAATATAGGGGAAGTCCGTGGGGGTAACCCCCACCCCCTTCTTTTTGATAACTTGTAAATGGTCGAGATCCCCACCCCTAAACCATATATATTCTTGAATGGGACAATAAAACAAATCAAATGAAATTGAGGGGAAGTCCCCTGGGGTAACCCCCAACCCCCTTCTTTTTGAAAACTTGTAAATGGTCAAGATCCCCACCCTGAAACCATATATATTCTTGTATGGGACAATAAAACTAATCAAATGAAGTAAAAGGTGAGTCCCCTGGGGTCACCCCAACCCCCTCCTGTTTGATAACTTGTAAACGGTCAAGATCCCCACCAAGAAACCATATATATTCTTGTATGGGACAATAAAACAAATCAAATGAAATATAAGTAAATATAAGTAAAGGCAACCCTTAAACCATATATATTCTTGTATGGGGCAATAAAACAAATCAAATTAAATATAGAAGAAGTCCATGGGGTCACCCCACCCCTTTCTTTTTGAAAACTTGTAAACGGTCAAGATCCCCACCTCGAAACCATATATATTCTTGTATGGGACAATAAAACAAATCAAATTAAATATAGAAGTCCATGGGGGTAACCCCCACCCCCCCTTCTTTTTGATAACTTGTAAACGGTCGAGATCCCCACCCCTAAACCATATATATTCTTGAATGGGACAATAAAACAAATCAAATGAAATATAAGGCGAGTCCCCTGGGGTCACCACCCCCACCCCCCTCCTGTTTGAGAACTTGTAAATGGTCGAGATCCTTACCCCTTAACCATATATATTCTTGTATGGGACAATAAAACAAATCAAATGAATTATAGGGGAAGTCCAGGGGGGTCACCCCCACCCCCCTTTTTTTTTGAAAACTTGTAAACGGTCAAGATCCCCACCCCAAAACCATATATATTCTTGTATGGGACAAAAACACAAATCAAATGAAATAAAAGGCGAGTCCCCTGGGGTCACCCCACCCCCCTGTTTGAGAACTTGTAAACGGTTGAGATCCCCACTCCTAATCCATATATATTCTTGTATGGGACAATAAAACAAATCAAATGAAATATAGGGAAAGTTCATGGGGGTAACCCCCACCCCCCTTCTTTTTGAAAACTTGTAAATGGTCGAGATCCCCACCCCTAAACCATATATATTCTTGAATGGGACAATAAAACAAATTAAATGAAATTGAGGGAAATTCCCCTGGGGTAACCCCCCCCCCTTTCTTTTTGAAAACTTGTAAATGGTCAAGATCCCCACCCCGAAACCATATATATTCTTGTAAGGGACATTAAAACAAATCAAATGAAATATAAGGCTAGTCCCCTTGGGTCACCCCCACCCCCCTCCTGTTTAAGAACTTGTAAACGGTCGAGCTTTTCATTATTAATAAGATAATACCACATTGAGGTCCAAAGGGTCCTAAATTAAACTTTTGTTTAATTTCATCAAAAATTGAATTCTTTGGTTCTTTGATATGCTGATTCTAACAATGTTTGAGTGTTAAATCATATCTAATTTTAGAGAACTTAGTCATCACTGGTTGTTGTTATTATATTATTGATTATAATTTGAAAAATTGCATCATATATCTTATTTTAGAGAACTATTTATCCAGTTTGAGTTATTTCCATTTGCACAGAAAATATTATGGATAAAATTAACCTGTGTTTCATTTCAACATAAATTAAATATATATATAGGGTTCTTTCAAATGCTGAATCTAAACTCTATTTAAATATTAGATTTTTAGGCCCAGTTTTCAAGTTGGTCCAAATCAGGGTCCAAAATTAAACTTTGTTTGATTCAACAAAAATTGAATTTATGGGGTTCTTTGAAATGCTGAATCTAACCATGTATTGAGAGATTTTGGATTGTTGGCTCCTTTATCAAATTGGTCCACATTGAGGTCCAAAGGGTCCTAGATTAAACTTTTGTCTGATTTCATCAAAAATTGAATTCTTGGGGTTCTTTGATATGCTGATTCTAATATGTACTTAGATTTTGAATATTGGACCTTAATATGTATTAAAATGTCCAATTTCAAATATATCAGTTCTTTGACTACATTCATTTTGTGTCACAAACCTATGATGTGTCAAATATTCAATCACAATCCAAATTCAGAGCTGTTTTAAGTTTAAATGTAGTGTCTATACTTGCTCAACTGTTCAGGGTTCGACCTCTGCAGGAAAATCCGGTTTGCTGTCTCTCTGACAGCCTCTTGTTGGCTTATATCTTAAAAACTAAAGCAAAGCTGACATGGAGTAAAAATGATCATTAGGTCAAGTTCTATCAGCCCTGAAATTTTCAGATGAATCTAACAACCCATTGTTGGGTTGCTGCCACTAAATTGGTAATTTTAAGGAAATTTTGCAGTTTTTATACGACCGCAAAAAAATTTTGTGGTCGTATATTGGTATGACGTTGGCGTCGTCGGCGTTGTCGTCGTCGTCCAAAGACACATTAGTTTTCGCACTCTAACTTTAGTTTAAGTGAATGGATCTCAATGAAATTTTACCTTAAGGTTCAATACCACAAAAGGAAGGTGGGGATTGATTTTGGGGGTTATGGTACCAACATTTAAGGAATTGGGGGCCAAAAAGGGGCCAAAAATAAGCATTTTTTTAACTTCCAGACATAACTTGTGTGTAAGTGTATGGATCTCTCTGACATTGTACCACAAGGTTCCATATCACAAAGGGAATGCTGGGATCGATTTTGGGGGAAATTGCTTCCAAATTTTAGGAATTAGGGGTCAAAAAGGGGCAAAAAACAAGCGTTTTTCTAGTTTCATGACAATAACTTGTGTGTAAGTGTATGGATCTCTCTGACATTGTATCACAAGGATCCATATCACAAAGGGAATGCTGGGATTGATTTTGGGGGGTAATTCCCTCCAAATTTTAGGAATTAGGGGCCAAAAAAGGGGCAAAAAACAAGCATTTTTCTAGTTTCATGACAATAACTTGTGTGTAAGTGTATGGATCTTTATGAAATTGTACTACAAGGTTCCATATCACAAAGGGAAAGCTGGAATTGAGTTTGGGGGTAATTGCCCAAAAAGTTTAGGAATAGGGGGCCAAAAAGGGGCCAAAAATAAACATTTTTCTTGTTTCCAGATAATAACTTGTGTTCAAGTGTATGGATCTCTCTGAAATTGTACTGCAAGGTACCATACCACAAAGGGGAGGCTGGGATTGATTTTGGGGGTAATTCCCTCAAAATTTTAGTAATTAGGGGCTATAAAAGGGCAAAAAAAAACAAGCATTTTTCTAGTTTCAGGACAATAACTTGTGTGTAAGTGTATGGATCTTTATGAAATTGTACTGCAAGGTTCCATATCACAAAGGGATAGCTTGGTTTGAGTTTGGGAGTAATTGCCCTAAACGTTCAGGAATTTGGGGCCAAAAAGGGGCCAAAAAACA